GCCTCCTGCAGTCTGTAGTGGGTCTGTGAGGCTGGGCCACTGATGGCCTCCTGCAGTCTGTAGTGGGTCTGTGAGGCTGGGCCACTGAGAGCCTCCTGTCTATAGTGGGTCTGTGAGGCTGGGCCACTGAGAGCCTCCTGCAGTCTGTAATGGGTCTGTGAGGCTGGGCCAAGGCACTGAGTATTCTGTTGTTATCACTTTGGTGCCAAGCAGTAGTACTTAGAGCGTAATTTGCAGGAATATTTAGCAGCAGAGATGTAAAAACCCATAATTTTTTCTTCTTAGGGGCAGCCCAGTAACAGGGAAGAGGGGTTTAAAGAGGGGTTTAAATCCAGGGCAGGTACATGGCCTTTTACAGCCAAAATAGAACTGTCTGTTGGGAGCGTTTCCAGGCCCACCCTCCGGCCTGTTAGCAGGGCAAAAGCCTCCATTATCAGAGCCCTGGTGTCTCACCTAAGTCTCATTTCAGCAGAGTGCGGTCTGCTGGGAAACCACAAGTGCTCAGAGTCCTGCTCCTAAAACCAGACAGTCCAATGACCTGGTCACAGCTGGACTACAGACCTCTGCTTATAGTCAAGAGCCACATCATTATTTGTAGTGAATCTGAACACTGAAATGCTCCGATGGCCCCCGAACAGAGAAGTCTCTGTGGGTAATGTAAACTCCCGAAGCATCCAAATGCACGGTGATGGTGTGAACAATGGGACAGAGTGCTGTCCCGCGGCCTCGGTGATGCGCCTCCTGGACTCAGGGGCAGAACGGCCACAGAAAATGCACATTTGAATCCATGTTGAAAACATCTGCAGGACGCCTTGAGGGCGCTGGCAGGGTGTGGATGTCACATGTGGATGTTTTCTTAGCTTCTGCAGTGATGCTGTGGATGTACTTGCAGGTGTCCAGAGAGGCACATGCTAACACTTTTAGGGGGAAATGTTTGCCCTTACCTACACTTTCCCTCAGAATGGTCGGGACGTGTATGTATTGTACTGCTTGTTCTGTTTTCTGTCTGGGTGGGGAATGTATGCATCTTTTCACTCTGTAATCCACTTTGAGAACTTATCCCCGGAAGTGGTTTGATGTTTTCTCACAAGCTTTGTTTCAGGGATAGTCACGGGCATTTCCTTTATACCAGTTCTCACCCTTCCTAATGCTGTGACCCTTTAACACAGCTCCTCACGTGGTGCTGACCCCCCAGACGTAAAGCTCTTCTCGTTGCTACTTCGTAACTGTAATTTTGCTACGGTTATGAATCATAGTGCAAATATTTTCAGAGACAGAAGTTTGGCAAATGGTCACGACCCACAGGTTGAGAAACAGCTTTCTGACACTCCCAAATTACAAATTCTCGGGATCTAAGAGACAGCTGGTTAGATGACTCAGTACAGCCACTGCTGAAATGTAAGGTTATGCAAGTCTTTGTGGGGAAAAAAAAAGTCACATACCCAGAAGACCCATCTTTGATGAGCCGTCTCTCAAGGCCCCCTTCAGCTGAGATCTGTGAGTGGGCACAGGCTCCCTTTCCTACCCTTCACCAGTCACCTTCACCATGGCCTTGCTCCGTGGGTCATATTCTGTCATTAGGACTAAGAGGACGAAAATGGAAAACGGGGTTAAGCCAGTCTTCTGTGGCCTTTTCAATCTGACGAAGTAGCAACCTCATAAACGACAAGACCAGAGAGGTTAAGTGACAAGTTCAAAGCCACAGAGCTAGAAAGCTGAGGTGCTGAGGTCCAAATCCAGGAAATCGGAGCCAGTGCCTGACTCTTGTCTAATGTCAAGCAACTGTTGAGGTGTTTCCTTAGGGCCAGACAGCCCCCCCAACCCCACCCCACCCCCCGGTCCCTCGGCGCTGAGGGTTCTAGAGCTTGTCTGCCACAGCAAACCAAGAGCGGCTCCTAGCGTTCAGGGCGGCATTTCTTCCCCACACCAACAATATAAACATGCTGTGAACACAGCAGGGCATCACTCTGACCGTGGCTGGCAGCTTGGCATGGCGACGTGTGCCAGCGCTGGGCAGGTGAGGCAGGCGGACCTGTGAGCCTGAGCTCAGCCTCGGGCTCCAGACAGACCCTGGCCCAGCAAACAAACAAGAATCGCCATATTTGGGCAAAATAAAAACCACAGGCTCAACTCCAGTGATTTCTCTAAATTTTTATTAAATATTTTTTTTTTCCTACAGTTTGATCTTGTGGAAAGGAAAGACTGTGAAGATGAACAAGTCAATAATTACATTTTGTAAAACAGCACTTAATCCTCATTACAGAGAAAAACAAAAGATCTGTGGCACGTTTTCTTTGGAAGGACCTTTTGCAGATTTTCTCCTTAGAAAAAAAAATTCTCTCACAGATCATGTCTGCCTCTTTCAAAGGATTCTACAAGGCAGCTAAATTTTATTCACAAAAGCCCCAAGTTTACAGTTCCGTTTCTGAAGCTGATAAAAATGTGGTGTTTCCCTTATTCTTGTATACCTTCCCGGGAGCAGCGATTTTTCCCGAGCTCACATACAAACCATCGGATTAGTGAGAGCTGGCACATTGTTTCATGGTAATCAAAGAAAAACTCATTATTTTAAAGACATACCAGTGATTTTCATGATCACCTGGACAACCTATTCATTTTTAAAGCAATTTTAATAATACCAAGATTTGACTTTCCTCTAACATTATAAGAAAGTAAATATATAATATATAATATAATATATAATGGTAATAAATAAAAAAGGGAACCCTGCTCAGGTATCATCCAAAATATGATCACATTCAGAAAAAATTAAAACAAGATTTGGGGACACACGTGCACACACCCCAACATGAACAGTGTGTACTTGATATCATGGGGGTGTGCAGTATTAGCAATACACACACATCATGGCCTGAACAAAGGCAAACTTAATACTGCCTGTATTGAGTATTGCTGAAACACCTAGGCAAAGCGAGTCCATCTTCCTTAGGTCAACCACCGCGTGGCCCAGCAGCGCAGCGTGGCCTGCCTGTCGGCGTGGCCTTATTCCAGTGTCCTACGGACAGATGTAGCAACATGCAGGCCCCGGGAGCGCTAGGCTTCCTTCCTGTCCTCTGGCTCCCTCAGGTGGGGAAGAGGCCCTTCTTGTTCATCACAGTAACTGCTGATGCCGGATGCACAGTGGGACAGAATATAGTGTGATTCACCCCCAAGGATCTACAGCCACCTGAAGACATGTGCTTGCCAGTGCATCCTCAATAAGAGCACGGCCACGAGGCAACTGTCCCCAACGGCAAGCCGCCATGGCTGGACCACACAGTGGAGGGTTACCCGGTAGAAATACCACTTACGGACGTGGAAGGAGAATCCCAACACCCTGGCCTTCTGCCCTTGAACTTCCCTTCCACAGGACAAGTTAAAGGCACAGGTAAAGTCCTCACACCCGTTATCTCCAAATGGCCCAGAACCGACCAACAGCCCAGCACCTCCACAGCCGCAGCTCATTAGAAAAATCGACACTTCTGTGTTTCTAGAAGGAGCCCACAACATTCTTAGATTTAAATATTGCTAAAGTTTTTAAAGACTGAAACAGATGAAGTGGTACATTTTCAATGATGTTTTGTAGTGTTGGGAAAATAAATCATTAAGAGAAAGAAGTAGTCTGTAGGAGGCATGGAAAGATTTTGTTTTTAAGCCCAACTCATTTAGCTTAAGATGCACAAATACTCCTCAAACTTCACAAAACAGGAAAGTAAACATAAACCCTTGAAGCCGTGGCAAACCGGACAGCATTACTTCAGAAACTGTTTGGTCAACAAAGGCACAAGTACGTCTAGATGAATCCCTCGTCCTGTGCATCAGAGCCCGTCGCTGTGGGGCCCGCGGTGCTCTGTAAGCAGGAATTCTAAGATCGAGGTCCTATCCCTCACATCAATACACAAGGTGTCAGGTAAGGCACGTTTTCAATTAAGATGGGGAAGAACCCACTCTAAACATCCTAAGATCTAGAATTAGAGAACAGAGGCGTGGGTGGGTCCTGCCTGTCTAGAGGATGGACAAACATTGTCAAAACAGCTACAAAATAAATCAGGTGCTTCCCATGCGATCATATGGATGCACTGGCTGGGCTGCACACACTGCTCCTCCTCCTCCTCCTCCTCCTCCTCCTCCTCCTGCTCCTCCTCCTCCATATTCTCCTCCTCCTCCTCCTCCTCCTCCTCCTCCTCCTGCTCCTCCTCCTGCTCCCATGGGGCCTGCCCTCCTTAACAAAGAGCAACCGGCTTTAGCCACGTGCTTTTATTATCTAGCAGGGCTTTCACAAGTATCCAATTTTAATTATTTCTGAAAACATTCAACACTTGGGAAAAACGGGTGTCCCTCTACTTCCTGTTGCAGCCGGACAGGCCATACATACCCTTTGTAGTGGGAAAGACAAGATTCATGTTCACTCCCAATAGGCTGCCTACTTCACCATGAAGTATATGCTCTTCTGTGGCTATGGGACCTCGCACATTCAAAGGGTTCATTTTACAGTCCTTCCAAATGAATCACCTGGGGGTGGGGGGAGTTGCCTTTGGGAACTGTAAGCTTATAGTGGAAAGTGCAAACGGTTGGAAAGGTTCTTCAGGCTTCCACCACGAGCAGTGACGCACTGACAGCCACTGCGTGTCCACTCCAGTAAAAGGGCGGCCGGAGACCTGCTCGCTTTAGGACAGCGTTGCGGGGAACCTCTCTACAGACCACACTGGTACAAACGGGTCTGTCCAAATTCGTTAGTTTTCAAGGTACAAACAAAACTGTAATAAACTGGGGAGAAAACAATCCAGTACAAAGGATGAGGCGGCCCGTTCTTCCTGCACTGGCTGGGTGTGTTCAGTCAAGGGGCGCAGCGGCCTGCCGGCAGGACACACACACACACACACACACACACACACACACACACACACACACGTGCTTTGGCACAATGTGCCTCGACCAGACCCAACCACAGCCCTGTGACCGGCAGCTTGTTCTAAAGGTACAGCCCTTGCTGTCCATAGACGAGCAATGGGAGAAGGGAAAAGATCCTCAAGAGTCCACAAGCCAACGCTGCTCAAGAGGTGACCAAGTGACAGGGAAGCCTGCCACATGCTGCAGATCAGGTAGCTTTAAGGAAACGTGGCTTTGCTTCAGCCCGTTAGTAAAAAGCTGCTTCGTCAGATCACGGCCACAGTCCATGCTCAGATGTGCACAAGGTAGCCAGCCATTCTCTGGCTTTATCCAAAGCAGGATGAAAGGCTCAGGACACACAAACACCCAGCATCACACCCACCTGCAGCCCGTGTAGACTCACCAAGGTACCAAGAAAGTCTTCCCATCCATCACCCAAGCGACCCCGGGCACCCTCACTAAGATGGGCCTCCCGTCTAAACTCTCTACGGATACAGACACACGGTGTGGCTGGTAGGAAGCGGAGACAGGAAGCGAGGAGAGCAAACAGCAACCAGCCATATAACACGTGCAAATTCTACCTTCTGGAAGGGGTAAAAGAATCGGCTTCTAAAGAACACTGCACTGAAGAGTATTCCAGTAATAACCTTGAGTTTCAGTGAAAGGCCTGTGCTTATGGGCAGGTGTGAATTCTGAGTGTGTCCTTTCACTTTCTGTCCAGTGGACTTGGTTTAATGTGGGCGGGGTAGAACTTGGGAAGGTCCCAGGTCCTCTTCAACGTCACCGAGTCACGGTACCTGAGAAGATGGTTAATTAATCCCCCCCAAATCTCCACATCCTCCCAGGGAGGCAGTGTCCCCTGGATTATCAAGGGCTTTGGAAAGTTGAGTTTTGCTATAAATATAATTTGTAGCAGAAAAATACAGCCTCTGTAGGAAGATCTCGAGTTCGTTCACTGATGCACCAGTTGCCACGGCTCTGGCGGCACCTGGGGCTCTAGGGGACAGATGATGAAGTACATCAGCCTCCTGCCCGAGGCAGACACTGGCTCCCTTTGCCCCCACACACTGTGGGAAATGAAAAACAATCGAGGGCGCTGCTTAGCCAGTCGCTTTCCAGGAGTGTGGCAGCAGGAAGTAGGAAGCTTCCTGGGATGCCGTGCTGGGAAGACGGTAAGATGGATCCTGGATCTAAATGCTGCCGCTCCTCTCGGCTGACCTGGGATGCTCTCAGTGCAGCCAAAGAGACCAGAGCTAGACAGTGTGCAGGACTCTAGGCACTGGGGGAGGGGGGAAGAGGGGAAACGTCACCTTCAATCTTCTAAATGATAACACTCAGTGTCAGAGCCACTGTTCACTGCCGGAAGTGAGGCACAGTGGAATCCTTCACAACTTCTATTTTACAGGTGGCCATTAGGATTTATTAAACAATGTTTTCTTTAAAACTTGAAAAGAAAAAATATATACCCATAAAACCCTTCACCAAAAATTATTATTATTTAAAAAAAAAAATTCCTTCTGGAAGTGAACTAGTGTGGCTACTGAGATGACAGGAATCTGCCTCTCTTCCTTTCGGTTGCAGCTTGTATCCTATTGTCCAAACCAACAGAAAATAAAAACCAGAAATGTGTCTCGACCATTCATACGCCAGTCAGGCTCCATTGCACTTCTGTCCTTCCGCTAGGAAAGGCAGATCATTTAGCATCGTCCGCTCTGCTAACCAGTGTCCAGCTGATGGCCACGCAGGCTTGTGAGTGTACGTGGGCAAGCGTACCGGCCATCTCACGGCGCTTCACTTCTTGAGTGTCGTCGACATCCCGATCAGACAGTCGTCTACACTGGATCAAGGCTTCCAATTGTGCAAAGACATTCCAAGGCATTGGGTAAGCCCAGCCTGCGTTAGGGGGCTTTGGGGGCTTGTTTCAGCCGCTGCAGACCCTGTCTCGTGTAGTGCACCAGGTCCACCAGGCTGCTGTTGAGGGCCAAGACACGCACCTTTGTGCTGAGCTGAGCAAAGAATTCTGCAATGAAACCCAAATCACACATGAGCAAATTTACATGTACAGCATCAAATTAAAATGGAGACCCATAGTCCAGGGCCAGTATCCCCACAATATCCTGCGGCTCGCCTAGCATGCTCGTCGGTAAGTGCTGGCTAATTCTTGTCAGCCCACCTCCTCCTGAGTTGAATCTGTAACGCACGCCTAGTACAGTGGTGTGTGTAGTGTCCCAGTGATGCATTGTGATCAAGGAATGCACAAGAGGAGGCAAAGAGGCTGTGGGGAAATCGAGAGCTACAGCGCCGGCCATCTTCTTCTCCCGGGAAGATCTAATGGTGGTCACCGGGCACTTGTGTGTGTGAACTTTGGCACGGGCACCATTCACTTCCCCTGAGTCAAACCTGGAGTTGCCGGTCCTCCCCAGACAGGTCTCAGTAATACTGTGTGCTATGCTGTGCGTCTCAGACTGTAGCCAGTCATCTTAACATGCTGACAACAAACCGTCTGTGCGGCTTCACCTCGCATGTGCTGGGCCGAGCTCCGCCCTCTGGCTAGGGGTTCAGTTCAGGCTGAGACAATGATGCCAACATGTGCGGAGAGGCAGAGTGCTAAGGCCAAGTCTAATTTGGCTCGGCAGAGATCCGGCCTCAGAAATCTAGCTCACACCACAGACCTCGAGGAAGATCTGCAACCGGTTAGGAAGCGGAGCGGAGGGATAAGAAGAGAGGCTACCTATCTCCACTGCTGCTTCGTGAGACAGAACGTCAACAGGAACCAAAACACCTCCCACCGCCAGGCCACAGCGGCCACTGCCAGGGCCCCTCACCTTTATTCCTCTTTGTAAGGGCCTCTGCCTGTTCCCAAAGGTCGAAGGCCTTAAGGACGTGGGATGTGATGGTGACGTACGAGGAGGTCATGTTCTGGATGGTGACCGGGGTACTGATGGTGGCTGGCCCCCCACTGCTCCCCATGCTACCAGCACTTGACTGGGACCCTACGGAGCTGGCAGGAGAAGGCGTCGGGGAGAGGGGGGACGGAACGCCTGTGCTTCTGCAAGGATGGAGAGAGACTTGGTTAGTCACGTAAACTAGCAGGTTAAGTTTCAGGGTGTGTTCCCCAAAACAATAATCGCTGCTAAAGACACCCTTAAAAGATCAAAGGCACATCTGGAAGACTGACCTGGGTTCTCACCCTGAGCTGTGCCTCCACTCGGCACTAAACCTTGTCAGACCCGACTCTCCGACCTGTGGCTGTACCACAGGGCCAACACTTGAACCACTTTCGTTCTCTGGGTCACAGCAGCACAGAGGTCAAGTGCATGCCTGCCTCCTACTCCTACTGAGCCAGTAAACACAGACTGGAACAGACGAGCGGCGGGCTGCGCACAGGGCGTGTGGTTCAGGAGCCCCAGCACTCTCTCCTGTCCCTGGCTGATGGCCGGCCTGGTCCTACAAGCTCACGTGCTTCCGTTGGGCCCAAGGAGGAAAACAGCTCAATCACGGAAGCGTGATAGAAGATGGGAAGACGGGGCAGAAGCCGCCGCATAATCAGAGCGGTCGATGCCAAACACTAGAGAGGGAGCTGCCCGGGGTGGGGGGCTGCTGCATCCTGGCAGCTGTGAGGGTTGTCACAGAGAAGCTGTCCTAGCTAAATCACGTGAATAACAGACAGCAGATGCTCTCGAACCAGACTCCTTCATCACGATGTGGTTTTGTTTGTTTGTTTTTAATATGGAACACTTCACAGACTTGCATGCCATCCTTGCACAGGGCCATGCTAATCTGTGTATCGTTCCGATTTTAATATGCGTGCTGCCCGAGGGAGCACAGGACGTTCTTTAAGAGGCCACTTGATGCCCCTCCCTTTTTGATTGCTAGACATGGGTCTGAATTATATTTAATGCTCTCTAAAAGCAAGGCCCAGGAGGAACAGGACTTCCTGAGGAATACAAGCAAACACACGGGTACAGAGCTGCATACACTCAGGAGGTGAGGCAAAAAGAGCACAGGTTCGAGGCCAGCCCGGGCTATCAGTGTGGTCCTGTCTTAGAACAAACAGCGCTGGGCTAGACCATGAGGAGCCACATCCCAACGTTCACGCTCACCCGCAAACAGTCTAAGGATTCTGTTTGTCAGCATCTTACAGCAAACGTGAGCAGTTTCTGTTCAGACTATGGGTCCTGGGAAGGGCCAAGTACACATGGTTCTCGGCAGCTCTTGTTTACTGAAATGTCAGGAAGATTTATCAAAGTAAGGAGAGGGGACACCAGTTTCTGTTGGTGTTGGTTTGCCTCCAGGAGTTGTGTGAGCTTAGACACCTAAACACGCTTGAAATGCCAAACTGCTGCTTCTAGAATAGTCTGCAGTTATACTTTCCCATTATCCACAGCTTAACTTGAGCCATGCCTGAAAATATCACTGTTCATCTGGATTCAACAGGGAGGGCACAGTCTCATCACTGTGTTGTTAAAATTGTTCTACTATTGTGTGCGCTGAGATAAAAACCAAGAGACCCGCACTGGCTCAGCACTGCACTGCCCCAGAGCCCACACTGGCTCAGCACTGCACTGCCCCAGAGCCCACACTGGCTCAGCACTGCACTGCCCCAG